AAGGAGTAAATGGACAGTGCTCACTGTATTGTCTCTTGGCCTGGTACAGACTTAGTGCTCACCTTGTGTTTCATGTTTGATGTTCTTATGCTAGTTTTCTGTCTTTGGGCTGTGTTGAGACTTAATAATTGGCAAGTTTAAAAGCAGAAAGAAAGCCCAGAAAGTTTGATACCACTTGTATGTCTGGTCTATAAGTAACCAAGGACTAACTTAAAAATGTAAGCTGCTCTGCTGGCTTTTCTTGCCTCCATTAAAGGGCATCTATAGATCAAGAAACTCAACCTTTTCTTAATGAAAATTCTCCAAATCTTATCCAATCGAGTCAGTGGCAGTGGTGGTGGTGAGACTTGATCATAATACGTCTCGAAAAATATATATATGTATTAAAGAACCACTGACAAATCATGCTAGACCTATTGAAATTGTCATGGGATCTTACAAATGTTTTGGGCCTTTATTGTAACAATTACATATGTTATGGCTATTCAGTATTAATTATGTTTGACAATGCTAATTCCACACAGTCTTATTTACTATTTATTCTATACTTACCAAGGCAGGGTTTCCCTGTCCCCAAGGTGAGGTTAAGTTCCCCTGCTGAGTAGACACTTAGCATCTTGGGCTTCTATTTTTCTAACACTTTATCACAATTGATTATAATTAATTTAACTACATGAAATTCTCTGAAGGCAAAAATGTATGTGTCTAGCTTACTCATATAGTGAGTTGACTTAATATGTGAAGATTATTCGGGTCTTACTAACTGGATAGATAGACTAAAAACTTATGCTACAATGTTGGAACAAAAACATCTTCAGGTCTCACTTTTATGGAACCATAAAGATAATTTTGCCTTATAGGTTCAGTAATAAGCATCTTATAACATTCTAGTAATATATATACATACACACATGTATATGTATGTATGTATGTATAACAGAACAAAATAGAATCCCTGCCTTTTGTCCCACCAACGCTGCCTTTCCACACCCACAATCCCTTTTTTCTCTCTCTTTCTGGTTCTCACAGTCTATAAAGTCTTAGAAGGTACCAGATGTTTGGAGGAGGCTATCCCACACATCTTAGATTTATTATAGCTATATAAGTGTAATTTCAGCCTTAACTTTGGTACCCATGAACTAGGTGGCCCTTTGTCAAACAGAACAATTCTTATCCATGGAGGGCTGGCATCAGTACCAAACACTCAAAATAACCACAGGATATTACTGAAACAACGAGTTCTGCCCACACACTGTTTCCTACTAGGAAATTTTAATTTACATAAACATTTTTCAAGAAAACCCCTTTGCATTTCATCAACATTTAAAAGTTAGGCTGGAATAAGTCATGTATGAATATACAGTAACGCCTGTGGTAAGTGCATAAACAGAGACTGTCAATGACTCAGATGACATTTTTCTCCTACTGCATAGTTTCTAATAGTGAGAACAGGCTAAAAACCACTCTCATGTTCCTTCCGGTCCTGACTACCTGAGGAGCGCAGCACAGCACACCCATTCATTTAGGACCTTGTGTTGAATGCAAGTGGAAGCTGGGCTGTGCTTTGTACTGGGAAATCCCACATGATCCTAGAAAGCAGCCATAAGTTTCTGGCAGATGTGAACTGAAGCTTTTCAAGTACTCTCAAATGGGTCTAGCAATATCATCTTCAAAGTTGTCAGTAACTTCCCCGCCCTGCCCACTCCCCACCCTCGCCCAAAAAAGCTCCATGTAAAAAGTGAAGTGTTCTTTCTTTTTGCTACAATAGTTAATTGATAAGAATTTTTTGAGTACTGTCCCTGTGCAGGGTGCAGAGTTAAACTTCTTAAAGGAGGGCTATGAAAATACATCCTGAATAGATTCCTGATTTTTTTCTAAGATTAAAGAACCCTACAGAACCTCAGAAATCAATGGAGTACCACTGGCTTCTTTTTCTTTGAGCATAACAACATTTCATTTTATCAGTGAATTGCCTGTCTTTTGACACAATCCAGACACCAGCTGAATTCTAAATGGTTACAAATCACGTTCAATTAATTGGTGGCATTGTAAAGATCATGAGAATGTGCCACCAACTTAATTCTTGTTTTTACTGACAGTTGATTACATGCCGCTGTTAACATTTTAAATGAGCATATAATAAAAAACAACCTATAAAATGTATAAATTGGGACATGAATGCAGCAGACAGGGATGGCTCATGCAATTGACAGTGACAGGAGTGACAGGTTTGATGAAAAGATGCTAGAAGCCTGGGAGTGATGGGCTGCAGGTGCTAACCAAAGATAGGACGATTATACATAATTTTTGTTGAATTACTGATTTCCTCACTGATCTTTGCTGCTGCATTCATGAACACTGTAACACTGTCATCTTGGATGTACCTGTGTGGAAAATGGATTTGGCACATTTGACTAATTTATGTAATAAATGTGTGAACTAACACTTCACATTGGGATAAGTATTAGCAAGAACATATTCTGCTCTATAAGTCTATGTTGATGGTCAGTACTCAATGACATAGCAAAATCTGAAAAAAGAACACTGGAAACATTTTCTCAGAGGTCTCTCACTTTAGTAAAAAAAAGGGATATGGAAACAAGGTGTATGAAATATATTAATGTAGGACTAACCACCAGGTTTAAATTTCATTAAAACATATCCAACACTTGGTGGGTTCAACTTTTAATTTCTAAATCAAATGGTTTTCTAGACTTTTAATTTCAGAACAAATTAGCATCTAGGAAATCCAAATGAATGAAAGTATAAAGATTTGTTTTACATTGAAATAGCCAACCGGCGCCAAGAAAAAAATGTCAATTAAGAAGTCGCTGTTGATCTTATAAGTTTAAAAGCCCATATTCTCATTCTTAATCATGTTCTGCTCTAAGTAACAAAATCTACATGTCCACTTTCATCAATAAGTTGCAGGCTGACCAAAGACAATTTAACTGGGCTATGAATTAGAGCAGTTTTAACCAAAAATATGAGTAGCTTTTAGGACTAAAAAGTGATCCTCTGAGGTTTAATGTGGTTTTTATAATATGCAAATGTTTTTAGATTTCTTGATGAGAGTACATTTTTATTAGTATTATTTGAAGGGACTGTACTTGCCAAAATTAATCTAAATTTATATTTTAGATTGTTTATTCTGATCATTTTTTAAAATTCATACCCACCTCCAAAATAGTAGCAAAAAATATTGTTTTTAGTCAGAAGGGTACTTTAATGATTAACTTTTAAAAAACTCCCTCATTTTTCAAATGAAGTAATCCAAGATCATAGAAACAGATTTTATCCTCCCACTGAAAGGAGAGAATAGTGTTTCGATTTATTCTCTCTGAAATGATTTCTGAGATTTTATTAGATAACTTCTATTTGAATCTATCCACTCTAAAATCTTTTTTTAAAACTTCAAAACCATTTCCTCTGACCTTCCTAAGCATAATAGTGTGTTAGCCGATGGGTTTCATTGCCGAAGCTGAATGCCTGTAACCTAAGCACATCTTCACACAACGGGCTTAGGTTTCTCTGTATTCTAACACATCTTAGATCTTTTTCCTAGTCTGCTCAAATCGTAGATGTCAGAAGACTTTATTCATGCATTCTGGTTTAGAGGTTTGCATAAATGATGAAGACCCTCTGAGTCTGATGATTGCCACTGTTATCTGCACCACTCTGCTTGTCACTATGCAATTGCAGTAAATGCAATTGAAAGTACTTTTATTTGAAGGCCATTTGACAGAGGGAGGAGAAAATACATTTACTCTTTCAAGGCCTGTGTATTTCCCTGGGAGAAGCTTGCCTATAAAATTTGTCCTTTTATCCTTGGATAGCTATTTGGGAAATATCTTTTGGCAGAGCAACCCCCTGAGTGATTTCTGCAACTTAAGACCTGAACACGTGATTCACAGACCTTCCCTGAATCTTCCCTACCTCCTTTCCTCTTACCTTCTAAATATTGGAAGGCTGATTCACGCTTGTGTGCTTGAAGCATTCTTCTCCACAGATTGAGAAAGAAAATTAGCATATTTTAACAAAAATATTGAGCTATTTTCACCACAGATGTTTAATGAAGGAGTTGTTTACTAATATTGACACAGCACACAAATCACATTGAACGTCTTACAACTGGTTCTCCTCCCTTAAAGCAAATCAGGGATTAATACAGTCCTTGAATTATTTTACAGATGGCATGAGCCACCCCGGTCCTCCAGCTGCACTACACCCAGAATCAAAGTCTTGCTCCTCCTCACAGAACATGAACACTGGAACCCTTTCAGAAGCAAAGGGTCAGTTGTCTAGGAAGATCTGGTGCTGAAACCCCTTACCATAAATGGCCAAGTTCCAAGGTCCTCCAATTAAAACTTGCCCTGTCACAGCTTCTTCATGCATACCTGTTCCCCCCTAACTCCTTAAAACCCTCCCATCATAAGCCATTGGGGAGTTTGGGTTTTAAGTGATACAGCTTTCTGTTCTCCTTGCTTAGCACTCTGTATTAAAACAACTTTAATTTTTCCATTCAGTGTTCAGTGTTTGACTCTGCTGTGTGTGCATGTGTGTGCGGTGGGGAGGAAAACAAATTCTCTTCCTGTTCAGTTACGATATCTATGCATCTGTGATTACGTTGAGGTAATACAAATAAAAAAGACACAGCACCGTGGATTTCTTTTACGAGAATCTTTTCTAACTTGTGCCTTCTCACAGGAGTTCAGAGAAATTCAACAAAGGTTACTTTTATCTTCATCAGAGAGATCAGCTAACTCAATACAGCTGTCTTGTATAATCTTTAACAGGACTGCCCTTCACGATATACAAGGAAGTCTTATTTTTTCAGAATAAAACAAGAAAAATGCAAATAAAGTTTATAATTTGCTAAATGCCGCTTTTAAAAAGATCCTCTTAGTCTCTACGAGTCATCACAACTGCCATCAGACATCATAAACACTTGCTGTTTGTTTCTACATCTCTGCTCTTGGATCAGCTTAAATGCTCCTTACCTATAAACAGATTCCACTCCGTGTCGAGATCAGCCTGATTTGCCAGACAGCCCTTCATCACGTTGAGGCAGTAGTTGTTGCAAGGTCTCACGGTGGGAAGTCCTCGACAGTATGGACAGTACAGCATCTTCATGAGAGCACGAATGCACCCTGGAGTCGGGCTGACCTGTAGATTTATTTTTTAAAAAATCATAAATAAGAAGGATGGAAGGGAGAAAAAAAGACGTAACTCATTTTCTCCTTTAAAAAGAAAGAGGTGAAATGTTTCTGATAAACCTCCAGCAGTAGAACAGAAGGTCGAAAGAACAATCAGAATCTTAACTCTTTGTAATACTTGATATTGAAGCCAGTCTATTCCTGTTAAATACTTCTGTTCGGCATAGTAATAATCAATTTTCTTGAACTGTCCCCGTCAATTTTAATATCTATGTCTCTGTAATTCAGCCCTAAAACCTAGACACTGTTTCATTGCAAAAGAACATGAAATGAGACAATGCATGTGAAAGCAATTTGCAAAGTTAAAAGCGCCATAAAAATGTAGGTATTATTAAAGTTTAATGTGACACCTTTAGAAAATTTTCAAACTGATTATTTGACCCTGTTCCTAAAGGAGGTTGGCAGATATACTTCCTTTGTACATAACTTTTTGAAAAGAATCAATATCAACTTGTCTGGGATTTCTGAGATCCAGGCCTGCTTAGAAGCAAAGGAACTGCCAAGGCACTGTGTTCTGGCATCTGAAGGTTTGTGGTTCTGGAACTCTGTGGAAAATGGGCCCACTGTTGAATGTGAGGAGAAATCCTTGCGGTAATTCAGAAGAGCTGCTAATCAACTGACAGTGGAGTGCCATTTGCCTTGAACTAGGAAAGCAGCCTGCTCCTTCAGAAATTAATCTGTTCTAAACCAGTAAGGCCTTTTTTCTAGGCTCATTGAAAGTTCTAATTTGACTTCAAGTGGAAGGAATATTTAAAACAGTATGGACCAACAACAGCAACAAAAATACAGAAAGTTCTTTTATGACTAGACGCAAACATTATTGTCATATATACTTAGTTGATTTCTTATAATTTTGGTATTTTAGTCAAGGGACTATATGTTCCATTCTTGTGCTCTGGATCTGTGGATGATTGATCTAAATTGTATCATCTAGACCTCTTGTAAAGTTATAGCCTTATCAAATAGACCTGGATCCACAGGTCTGTTTGTCTAGAACATTCAGCTACTGACAAAGCATAAAACACCAATATAAAGGTGGGTCAATATAAGGTATTTCCACAGAAACGAGTAATTTCAACAACTATAGCTAATCTGTGTCATTTTTATCCTTTAGCTAGAAACCACATTTGAAGTTTTTAAAGCAAGGCTTGAATTTTTTGTAAGATTTTCTTAACTTTATGTTCTATAGCGATAATGTCCCTAATACATTATTTCAGGAAATAAAGCCATTTTTTTTTATGCTCTGAAATATCTAGTTGTCCTTTTGTTTTCTTATTTGCTTTCCAAAATTTTTTGAAAATTTTCAAACATACAGACTAGTTCAGAGATTTTAATAGGGAACACACACAGTCCTACTCCTAGATTCTACAGTTAACATTTTCCTATACTTGCTTTTCCACACATCCTAACATTCATTCTTCTCTCCATTAATGAATCCAACTTATTTTTTATGCATTTCATTTTTAACGTTCTTTTGATTTTTACTTTTTCTGGTAATTTAATGTTGGCTTTAAAAAAGTAGAATTAACATGATCAAAATCAGTGCATTAAGTACTCTAAATCAAGTAAGTGACGTAAATATAATTGGCTTTTCTTTATAAAAATGTTTAAGGAATGGTTTCATATTTACTAATTATTTAAAATTTTTGTTCCAACAATAAAATAACAATGAAAAGAGAGAGTAAAAGTGAGGAGTCTAGTGACTTCTTTTGAGCATACAGTAATGTCTCCATGTCATCTTCTTTAGATGGGCAATTTTGTTGAAATTGCCAAATTTTATGCACAATTGAAGAGTATTATTTAATTTTTTTATCCACATGTATCCCAAATCATTCACAGAAAGTAAGGAAAATAGTCTGTATTATACATACAAAATCAATGCGGAATTTCAAATTCTTATACGTTTTACTTATTTGGCATTGTTGCAATCCTACAAACATTTACCCACAGAATTCTGTTTTCCATAGCCTTTCTTTCCTGACCCTGAAGCCTTTCTCCAGAGACCTACCCAGCTTTCACCCAAACAATTTCTTTCTTGACTATTGGATTTTTGGTTTTCTTGCCATTGGTATTACATGATGCTTTGCTTCTGGTCACTTGGTGTGTTGGTACAAGACCTAGAGTATTTGTTAATGTTAAGGATGAAAATTTGAGACCTCTAGGACACTGTGGACTCTTTTTCATCATTATAACTATACCACACTGTAAAACATGCACATCGTTACAAGGTATTATGATTTAGGTACTCAATAGTGCTTTTTGAATTTAACTCTCTATTGTGTTTCCCAATTCCTCGACCACATTGATATTCAAAGAAAAAAAGGAACAAAATAGTTTTATACAGCTAGCATTCAATTGTTGCTTTTTAACTTTGTTTTCAAAGGTTATTGATTGCACTAATTCCAAAGCTTTGCTTTAAATTTTTTTAAAAATATTTTTATTGTCTTGGAACCAGCACAATTTTCTCAGTCTGACATTTAAGAAGAAGCTCCAATCAGGATAGCAACCAACAGAGAAAATTGAACAGCCTTAATAACCTAAAAGAACAATGTTGTTCAAGTTAAATATGATTCTCTCAGTACTTTTGGAAATAACATCCTTCCTGGTCAAATAAAGGGCATTTGAAGAAGAAGAAAATGGAGAGCGGAGGATCAAAGTTGAAGCTTTCATGTTCACAGACCATATTTTTTGAATTGACACACTGCATGCTTGAATTAAAAAAAAAAATCTTCACTTCAAACTGAAGACTTTTAGAAGTAAGTCTCTGAAAAGAAGGTTGTTTTAAATGCCAATTGTGTGAAGGAAGGAACATTTCTCTTGTTAAATTTTTAATAGTGTTTTATAATTGTGCCATAGCTACTTAAAAAAAAAAAGAAAGAAAACCTCTTCTATTTTGAAATAAATATAGATTCACAAAATGTTGCAAAAATAGAGTCCTGGATGCCCTCATTCACCTTCCCTCAACGGCAACATCTCATATAGCTGTAGTACATACCGCCAGAGAACTGACGCTGGTACATTATTGCTAACTAGTTTACAGATCTCATTGGGTTTTTATAATTTTTTTATCCTGCATTCCTTTGTGAGTGTGTGCGTGTGTGTGTGTGTACCCTTCTATGTAATTTTAATCATATGTAGCTTCACGTAAGCCACTACAATCAATATACAGACTTTCCATCACAGGAAAAGGACTCCCTTGTTCTATATCTCAACACCATCCCTGGTCTCTGTCACCTGGCAACCTACTGTTACTGATCTCTTTTCATTTCTAAATTTTGTTATATCAAGAATAGTATTTAAATGGAATCATATAGTCTATAAACTTTTGAGCTTCACTTTTTAAAAACTGAGGATAATGCCTTTGATGTCCATCCTAGTTGTTGTATGAATTAACAGTTCATTCCTTTTTGTTGCCGAGTAGTATTCTATTGCTTGGATGTAACAGAATTTGTTCAACTATTCACTCACTGAAGAATATTTGGGTTGTTTCTAGTACTTTGCTCTTAAGAATAATGGTTCTATGAGCATTTAAATACAGGTTTGAATATATACATAAGTCTTCATTTGTCTGGGAAAAATGCCCAGAAATGCATTTGATGAGTCAAATGCTTACTGCATTTAGTTTTAGAAGAAATTGCTGAACTATTTTCCAGATTGGTTGTTGCATTTTACATTTCCATCAGCAATGTGTGAGAGATCCAGTTTTCCCCACATCCTTGCCGATATTTGTTCTTATCATTTTTTTGAGTCATTTTAATACATTATTATTTACTTTAAAAATTATGGTGAGTTTCCTCTGAATGATATCCAAACCTGTAGGCTAGCCTCAATGGGTTCTAATAAAAACCAGGTCCAAATTCATTAATTAGCTGATCTCTAGAAAATATGCAACACTAAAAAATAAATAATTCTGAAATAGTAGATAAATCTGTATATTTAGCAAATCAAAATAAAGAAAGGAGTTCTAAAAACTCATATTTAAAATTTAGAATAGAATAATTCTCAAACACATCAAATTTGTACGTTATGTGGACTATTAGGAATTTTTTTTTTTTTACCTGAGGAAAATTGTGTTTAGTAACAATAAAGAGTACAATGTATCTTAAGAAACAAAATGTTTTATTTTTTTTAAGTTGGTGATGTGGATTTTTGACTATTCTTTAAAAATGTAGCTGTGCTTCCTAGATATTCTAAGTATTCTAGGAAATACACTTAAATAGTAAGGAGATATTTACAAAAGTGGTACCCACTTGGTATGAATAAAGCAGTGTTTTTAAGTGCAAAAAAGAGTAAGCTGAGATTGGCATTCATTTTTTGTAATTGATTGTGCTCTCACCTAACTTTTACATGTTGTTCTTCAACAGTACTAATCCTTTGTCAAGAATTCACAATATGAGGGAGTAAAATAAAAAAAAATTCAATGGTTCCTACTCCATTATCTTACTTTAGAAAGATAAACACACACTTGTGAGTCAATCAAGTAAGATTTCAACATAAAATGCTTACATTTTGCTTGGGTTTAGTCTTGCTGTTAACTTCTTTTGATGCTGTTTATATATAATGAATGGCATAAATTATCATTTTATAGTTGATATTATAATTGACTACTTTTGAGAAATAATAATACACTTTGAGGAAAATAATATAATTTATGACAAAGATTCCTTGTAAAATAACTGAAAAATAAATAAAATAACAAAAATAATTGAGCTCTTGGTTTGTAACCTTGTGGTTTTTTATTTTTGTTTTTGTTATTGTTTGTGTTTCTTTTTTTTAAAAGGTTAAAGCAAGACATATTGAAACATGGCAAGGAATACAAAAAGAGTCTTTAATAAAGTTGTATCAGGAGACAGCACTGAGACTTATCTACTTGGCTAGCCATGTGTGTCAGGATGTTTTAGTAAATAATTTTTATGTTTTCTAAATGTGATTTGGGGCATAGAATACCTT